TAGTAAAAAAAATAAAAAAATAAAAAGAAAGAGAGGGCAAGAGATAAGGACAGGAGGGAAACATCTGGGAGCAGATGATGTCAGCAGAGTGAGCTGGAGGGGAAGAACTTAGGTTGCAAAATAACCTAGAAGAAAATATAGTAGAACCATAAAGGAACCAAGAACCGTAGAGGTTTGTCTAGGACATGGACGAGCCCATGAATCTATGGGTCTGAACCCTTAGGGCCACTTCTGCTTTTTCTGTGCCAGACCAAAATCTGGCCATTCTCAAGATGAGCAGGTGGGAGAAGATTGGTGGGCTGAGGGGCCCCGATAGTCAACACCAATCAACAGTCTGTACCATTGCGGGTGCTGTCTTTGGAGTAGTGGGGAAGGTGGAGGGAGAAGATGCAATCCTTGAAATTCACCTAAGTAGCAGACAGAGACAGCCTTTATGGACAGGGTGTGATGGGCTCCAGGGAGGGACGCTTCTGTGCTGGGGACGGAGGGTGTGGGTGGGTGGGTGGTGGGCATTCCTTTAGGGGCCCCTAATAACGGCAGAGAAGCAGACATCGACTCTTACAGCCCTGGGCCAGGATCTTGGAATGCCAGTCAGAAGTCAGTTCTTGGTGGGGGAGGGCATAGCTCAGTGGTAAAGTGCATGCTTAGCATGCACAAGGTCCTGGGTTCAATCCCAGTACTTTCATTAAAATAAATAAGTACATAAATAAAAAACCTAATTACCTCCCCTTCCAAACAGTAAAAATAAACTAAAAAAAATTTTAAGTCAGTTCTTGGCCCCTTTATTACAAGTCTAGCAGCGATGGGAGTGGTGGCTGGAATAGGGGTTGAAGGAGAGTTAACCGCTGCTCACTTGGTGCCATGACCTGCATCAAAGCTTTGTCTGTATAGTCTCCTTAATCCCACCTCAAGGCCTTGATTCTCGGTGGTCCCTCTGCCAGGAACACTTCTCCCTAGTTATTCACATGCCTGGCTTCCTCACTTCATACAGATGTCTCCTTAAGCATTTCCTCCTCCCAAAGGCTCACAGAGACCACACCAAATAAAACAGCACTTCTGGCAGCTCTTTCCCCATTCTCTGTGTTTTTATTCATAAACACTAACTACCTCAAATATGGATAGATAGGTAGATATAAGTAATATATAAAATATATACATAGGATTCAGAGATATATATGTATATATAGAGAGAAAAAGAGTTGTTTGTTTATATTCTTTTCTGTTTGCCCGACTTCTTCTCCAGAATAAGTTCCACATACACGGGAATTTTTTTCTTCACCACCTTTATTTAACACCTGAAACAATGCCTGCCACGTATTAGGTGATTAATAAACATTAGTTGGACGTCTGAAATAATCCTCTTAATCCAGTAAAATGGAAACTATTGTTATCTTTCATTTACAGATGAGAAGACCACGGATTGGAAAGGCTAAATTGTGTGTTTGGCATCAAAGATTTACCATCAGAATCAGGATTCAAGGGGAGATCAATCTGGCTTCGGGGCCAGCCCTCTCCATCACCTTGCCATACTCTGCAGGCAGGGTGAGGAGATGGGGTGGGGGGAGCCTGATTAGGGCAATGGTTTAGCGACCTGGGGAGGCTGCTAAGGGAGCCAGGAATTTGTGGACAATGAACATCTGAGCAGTAGGGTCTGGGCGGACCCAAGTGATTAGAACCAGAGAAAGGGTAAGGACATGATCTTATAGATGCGATGAGGGGTTAAGATTCAACCACCTGCCAGAAGATCTTAGTGAAAAGGTGAGAGAAGCTCACTGTGTACTATAGTGTTAGGAGCTAAGCCAACCTCTGACCCCTGGCAGACGTGCTTTCCATGCCATTTCCTTTTTATCCACAGAATAGGAAATGTAATGATTCATTAGAGACACATAACAAGCAGAATACTCCTAATGCTAAGAATGCAGCACAAAAAAGGAAAGCATGATTAGATCAACATTCAAGGAAGACATTTAAAATGAGTCTTTCAAAGACATCCTCAGCTCCAGCGAGTTCAGTGGAGAATGTTTTCCAAATACCTTGAAGAACATTGTTATATTATTTCAACTGGACTAGAACGTAGAAAAGAATTTCGTGTTGCCCAGCCTATTTTATGAGACAGATACAGTTGTGATAGAACTTAATAAAACAAACAATGACAAATATATATGTGTGTACAGCAACTTGACTATCACCAAATAGTGGGATGCAAGGACAGTATATTATATGGAAAACTAATCACTAACATTTACGAGAAAAATGACTAAATAATTTCAGAAGATGTTAAGAAAGTTATCAGGAAAATTTAACATCTATTCTTGATTAAAATGTTGGACGGAAAAGCTTACAGGAAAGTGTAATCATGTTCAGAGAAGAGAGGAAGGGATGGACGAGTCTAGGAAACGGTAACAACAGCAACTATAACAAAAGCAATAGCAACAACATTTGAAATCCTGCAGAAGGGGTTTGCATTTAAATCGTCTGAGGAGTTGGGGAGGGTATAGCTCAGTGGTAGCGTGTGTGCTTGGCATGCATGAGGTCCCAGGTTCAATCCCCAGTACCTCCATTAAAAAGAAATTAATAAATAAGCCTAATTACCTCCCCTTCCAAAAAATAAACAAAGAAATTATTAAATAAATAAATGGTCTGAATAAAGAGACAAGCTGGAAGAAATAAAAACATTTTTGGGGGCTGAATGATGTGATTAAATAGCTGAAAAATCCAAAGAAGTCAACCAAAACAAAGCAACAGCAGCAGCAACAACAAAATCCTAGCAGCAATGAGCTCAAAGTTACAAGGCACAGGATACCGATTTTTTAAAAAATCAAATGTATCCCTAAATATTAGTGAGATGGAAAAGACAAAGAGCGTCTATATACAACAGAATCCAAACGAATTACATTCAAGAGTTAGCATGTGAGGCATATGGTACTTATTAAAGAAAATTTAGAAGCACATGAGAGTAATAAAGTAAAATATGAAGATATGGAGAGCTAAACTTGACTGCTGTTTGGGAAGACAGAATGCAGTAAAGATAAAAATAAATTACTCTGAAGAGCCAATCCAATATCAATGAAAATCCTTACTGTATTTTTATAAAACATGACATTTTGGTTGTGACATTCACCTGCAGGAGTGATCAGGCAGGAATATCAGAATTTTTTTATAAGTAATTATGAAGCAAATGAGTAAGCAGCTGCGATGCTAGCATATTTACTCTGTCAGATTTTGGAACATAGCAGACCAAAGTGATGGGTATCAGAACCTTACAACATTAAGCTAAAACCTGAAGATTCATAGTTCAACTTATTTTGAAGAACTATTTGTGGACCAACCGCTTTGTGCTATTCCTGGGGCTGGGTATACAGCCATGAATAGGCCAGGAAAGGTCTCACCGTCATGGAGAAACAGACAACTTAACGAGTCAACAGATGAATGGGCAGGATAATTCAGAGGGAAAAAGGGCAGTGAAGACCACAGTGATGGACAGAGGTCTGCGTGTGAGAGGCTATTTTGGGTTTGGCAGTTACAGAAGGCCCTTCTGAAGAGGTAGACTTCTGAGCTAAGGTCTGTGAAACAGAATGGGGTTTCCAAAAATAATTTCAATGGATTGTATGTCAATAAAATTGCCTTGAGGGACTTCCTGTGTGCAAGGCAGGGCTGAATGCTGTTGTCACATAGATGATGCATAGATGAACTTGGCAATTTTAACTTTAACCTTGCTCTTAGGGATTTTATGATTTACATTAAACACAAAGACTGGGAGAAAATATTTGTGATGTATACGATAGGGAGTTGGAGCCCCTTGGACCGCATCAATAAGGAAAAGAAAACAATGGAAAACTGGGTAAATGATAAGAACAACAATTCACAAAAAGGAAAATGAAGCCCAGAAAGCCAATAAATATAAGGGAAAAAATGCTACCTAGACAATAGAGAAATGCAAATTAAAACTGTAAGATACCAAATTTCACCAATTATAATGATAAAAATGAAAACGATGATGGTCGTCCAGTGTAATCAAAATTGTGATTCAAAAGTCCAAGATCTGACTTGTTCTGCCACTTGATCTCCAACGACCAAAAGCGCAAAGTCCGTGTTGGTGGGAAGTGCGCCCCAGCAGAAGCCCACTGGCACACAGAGGGCCCGCTTTGTTTTTTTGAGTCAGCCATCCAGGGTACCTCTGAGTCTCGGAAGTCAAGTCAGTGGACCAGGCTGGGGCTCTGTCCGGGTCTTGCCTCAGACTGCAGTTCTCTCTGTGGCAGAACCTGCTCCAGTCGTCCTCAAACCCAGAGATGGAGGCTTCTGGATTCTTGGTCAGAACTTTCATGAGGCCTTTGTGACCACAGGCCTGGGCGTTGCCTTGGTGCCCATGGGGCCTGGGGCTGGGGGGCTCCCAGCACATTCTGAAGCCCAAGCGGGGCTCCTCACTCCCCCTGTGTAGCCCACCTGCTCGGGGCCCTGTGACATCTGCATCACTTAGGCACATAGTACCCCCACTCTTCCACTCCCTCTCCTCACCCTTCCTCCTTCCTGAAATTCAGGCCCCACGCTCCTCTCAACCCTCCTCCATGAGACTCCCTCCTCCCACCTCTAGGATTTCTCCGCTTCCCTACCCTCAGCCTCCGTCTCTGCCTCGGTCCTCCCCTCCATCAGCCATCCTTCCATCTGCCCCTCGCCCCCTCCTTCCTCCTGGTCCCCTCACTCTCTTTGCTTTCTTCCCACCAGCTGATCTGGGGCAGCCTTATCCGGGGATAACCATGGGGCTTGGAGGGAAGAAGAGGACAGCGACTCCTCACCAGCTGAATCCAAGCCCAAGAACTAAAAGGGATCCTAAACCAAGTGGAAGAAAGCTGAAGAGGAAAAAAAAGAAGAAAGATATAGAGGAGCTGAAGAAAGAAGTGGTCATGGTGAGAACCCCCAAATGGGTACCAACAAACTGCCCTCCAGAAACACTTATCAACCCTCAGCCTTCTAACGTCTCACCTTGAGAATTAATCACACAGGCCAGAGCCACCCTTCTTTCCCCGAATGTTTTCCCTAGAAATGATGTGTCACTACCTGTTCCTCGCTGACTCCCTTATCCCTTCAGGATGATCACAAATTAACCTTGGAAGAGCTGAGCGCCAAGTATTCCGTGGATCTGACAATGGTGAGTGAAGGAACTCCCTGAGGGGCAGAGGGTCTCCATCCCCAGCCTTGAGGCCACCAGGACAAAAGTGGAGCTGGAAACCTAGCCCAGTAACTTCAAGGTCCGTGTTCTTACCCTCAGCCTGTGCCCAGCCAAGTTCCACAGGACGCACACTCGGGAGAAGGGGGTAATGGTGACCACCCCAGAGAGAGTCCAGGATTACAGGAGAGAATGAGATGGGGTGGGGGCAGCACGTCTCAAACCTTTGTCCTCGGGACCCATTTACACCCTTATAAATTCTCAAGGACTCCGAAGAGATTTTGCTTATGTGGGTTACATCTATCTGTAGTTAACATACGAGAAATTAAAACTGAGAAAATTAAAAAGTATGCCCTAATTCATTTATATACAAGAGTAAAGCCATTATATAGTAGTAAAAATAATATAAATAATGTGTTTATGGCAAATATGTGTTTCAAAACACAGATTTTAGTGGCAATTTACATTTTGCAAATCTCTTTTAACGTCTAGCTTTTTAATAGATGACAGCTGGATTCCCACATATTTTCAGTAGTAAATCTATTGTGCTACCACGTGCCCTGTAGCCTTTGGGAAATTCTACCGTATATTCAAGAGAATGAACATGAAAAAGACAATGATGTAGTATAATAAATGAACACTGTTTGACCTTGTGACCCCCTGAAATGGCCTCAGGACCCCAAAGGTCCCCAGACCACACGTTGAAAGCTGCTGGTTGTGCAGCGAAATCATGTACTACTGCTCTTACCTCCATTGCTGCTGCTGCTATAACCACTCGTACAATAACCGCAAATAAACTTAAATCAAAGCCCTCAGTATGTTAAGTTCCTCTTAGCTCTAGAATTTCTTCATTGGAAGGGCTTGGGTAACCAGGAAGGAGCACAGGAGACTGGTCTTTTTTCTATTAAGACTGCATAGCGGGGAGGGTGTAGCTCAAGTGGTAGAGAACATGCGTAGCATTCACGAGGTCCTGAGTTCAATCCCCAGTACCTCCATTGAAAAACTAAATAAGTAAGGAAAAAAAAGACTGCATGCTTTTCTGGGGCCAGGTTGGGGAGTGGCTAGTGAGGATTAAGGAGAGACCCTCTGGCAGGTTCTACATCATTTTCACTTAGAGGAAAAAGCCCTTAAGCTCCTGCACAAGATTAGCATGAGAATGTATATATTAATGTATTTAGTTGGGTTTTTTTTCCTTTTTTATTTTTTGAGGGGGAGGTAATTACATTTATTTATTTATTTATTTATTTATTTATATTTAGAGGAGGTGCTGGGGATTGAACCCAGGACGTCGTGCGTGCCTAGCATGCGCTCTACCACTTGAGCTATACCCTCCACCCCTTTATTTCCTGTTTCTAAGTTAAAGAGCCAAAGTGTGAATGTCCACACTTCATCAACACCACAGCTGGCACGTCATCATTACGTCGGCCTTGTGCGCTGTATTATAAATTGTTTATCTGTGTCTCCTCACTAGAGTTAAGAGCTGTGTACAGGTAGGGACCATCCTCACTCATTTTGGTACCCTACCACAGTACCAGGCCCAAAACAGGTGTTCAAAAGATTTGTGAATCAATCCATAAGCTAAAAATTCTTCCTATGTAAGCAGGCTGAATGATTTCCTTCTATGATGCAAATTTTGGAATCCGCCGTCCCCGCCGACCTTCAGAGAGCTTCAGCGATCCCTAGGCTTATCCCGGGGCTATAAATGGCAGACCTGGGTTTTGAAGCCAGGTTCCCTTTGCTACAGCTGCTTCTCTTTTCCTGGTTTTCCATTCATCCCTATTTCTTCTCCACACAGGGCCACAGCCCTGAAAAGGCACAGGAAATCCTGGCTCGAGATGGACCCAATATACTTACCCCGCCCCCCACCACTCCAGAATGGGTCAAATTCTGTAAACAACTGTTTGGCGGCTTCTCCATCTTACTGTGGATTGGCTCCATTCTCTGCTTCGTGGCCTACAGCATCCAGTTGTATTTCCATGAGGAGCCTACCAAAGACAACGTGAGTCTGTCCAACCACTGCTGCCCAGCCCCGACTCTGCTCAGCCCCTGATACTGTTCTGCCCCACAGCCCAGCACTCCTGAAGTCCTTGGGCCCAAATCCCTAACACCCCCAGGGCTTTCTAAGGGAGCTTTGGTCCCTCCTGGCTTCTCTATCTTTTTATCTAGAAAGCTCCTGATTCAGCTCCCTTAGATGCATAGTTTTCCCCTACAAGAAACTTGCTCTCCTTTGGTTATCTTCCCAGCTGGTCCTCGAAGCACTTTGCTGTCCATCCTCTTTCCCAGAATTTTAATCTCTTTCTCGCCACCTCCCTCCCTAGCCACCCACCACTTCATGAATAGCCTTCCTGGAGAGGAAGACATAAGCCTTCTCACACCCGAGATTTTGCTGGCCGCTCGTTGTAGCTCAGGGTCCTTCACCAGGAAGCTGAGTGAACCAGACTCTTTTCAGTCCCTGTGCACTCCCACCGAGTCCCATAGTTTCTTCCATCTGGAGAAATGGCTATTACCCTTGCAAGCTGACTTTCTAAGGATGAAGAGAAAGAAAAGGCCCTACTGATGAGCCCTGTGGTTCCCTACCCGCAGCTGTACCTGGGCATTGTACTGGCTGTCGTGGTCGTGATCACTGGCTGCTTCTCCTATTACCAGGAGGCCAAGAGTTCCAAGATCATGGAGTCTTTTAAGAACCTGGTACCTCAGGTAGGATTGGTGTGGAAGGATCTACTGAGAGGATGTGTAGAATGTGGCCAAATCCACAATTTTTCTGTCCTCCGCTGGAGAATTGTATCCTATGGTGAGTGAAGGAGGGTGACGTTCACTTGGGTTGTACCCTGAGAAATCACAGCATCACCTATGAAGTAATCTGGTCTGGAATGCATAATCTGACTCTAATGAGCAGAATCTGAAACCCCAGGTCTGTTGGGGCTCTATTCCAAAAAAGGGGGGATGGAGACAAAGGAGGTTAGGGAGACTGGATTCTTCAAATGTCTATGACCTTGAAGATAAAGAACAGCTGTGGAAGTGTTCCAGGTTAAAGCAGGCGAAAGAGACATAACAGCTAAATGTAACATCTGACCCTAGACAAGATCCTGTGCTGGAGCAGAAAATAATGCTGTGAAGGATGTATTGGGTCAATTAACAAAACTGGAATACAGGCAGCAGATTAAAGTATTGTGCCAATGTGAGATTTTCTGAATTTGATGACTGCATTAGGGTTTTTCCATAACCTAATTCTTGGGAAATGCACGCTGAAGTATGTATGATGAAAGATCATGATGTATGTAACTTGCTCTCAAATAGTGCAGCAGGAAAATATTCACATACACATATATGCAGAGACAGAGAACAAATGACAAGCAGATGGTATGCAATGTTAACAGATGAATCTAGGTTGCATAGGTGTTCTTGGTACAGTTTTTATTCTTGCGACTTTCCTGAAAATTTAGATTATTTTCAAGTAAAACTTTTATAAGTAACCCGGAAATAATACAGCAGTAGAAGGAGCTTCCTAGCCACAGGGCTGGAAACTTGGAAAAGGACAGGCTCCCAAGTTTCCCAAAGACACAGCTATGTTCGAGCACTGTAGCCCAGGCCCATTCTCTCCCTTTGGCGTCAACATGACTTAATGCCTTCCATGGGTAAGACTTCAGGGGAAAATGTTTTGGTAGAATGATGTAGGAGTTTGGAGACTATCAGTTTTTGCTGCCTAGCAAGCCGCTCCCAAACTCAGACGCTCAGAGCAACAAACAAAGCATTTCTCACAATTCTACGGGTGAGCTGTTCTGATCTGGGCTGACCTGAGCTTGTGCTGAATGGTCTTAAATGACCTCATTCACACGTCTGGGCCCTCAATGGAGATGCTGTGGACAGCTGGTGCCTTTCTCCTTACGACCTCTCTTCCTCCAGGAGGCTAGCTTGGGCCCATTCAATAGGGTGGCAGAGGCCCAGCCCCGGTGTGCAAGCACTTTTTAAGCCTCTGCTTGCACGACATTTGCTAAAGTCTTATGGGCCAAAGCCAGCCATGTAGCCCAGCCTAAGTGTGGGGATGGAGAAATAGACTGCATCTTTTAGTGAGAGGAGCATCAAAGGGCCCTGCCGACAACAATGATAAGAATTCACAACCTACCAAAGAGACCTTCAAGAATGATATGTTGAGTGACAGTGTAAGAAAGGGGGGTGAGAGGGAAGGAGACCAAAAACTGGATGGGGGAAGTAAAAAGCTTTGGAAATGACCCTAAATTATCTTTCCACAGCAAGCACTGGTAATTCGAGGCGGAGAGAAGATGCAGATCCATGTACAAGATGTGGTGGTGGGAGATCTGGTAGAAGTGAAGGGTGGAGACCGCATCCCCGCTGACATCCGGCTTATCTCTTCACAAGGATGTAAGGTGAGGGGTTGGGAAACGCTACGGAAGGAACACCGAGCACTGTCTTCGGGCACTGTGGTAACCCGGGCTCAGTCAAAGAAAGTATGACCTTATCGTGCAGAACCTTGAGAAGCTACAAGTGTAGATTTGAAGTTAGAGATAATAAGATGCTGGTGTGTAAGTTTATGTTTCTATCAGCATGATCATATGATGTTGGTGGCAGGTAAAGATGTGTCATCATTATAAATCTTTTTTCCATGCTCACACTATGACCCATCCTTCCTCCCCTCCCAGGTGGACAACTCATCCTTGACGGGAGAGTCAGAGCCCCAGTCCCGCTCCCCTGATTTCACCAATGAGAACCCTCTGGAAACCCAAAATATCTGCTTCTTCTCCACCAACTGTGTGGAAGGTGAATATCGCATCATAAATAGCCTACATTCAAAAGCAAAGACTGAAACAAACATCCATGGAACTCTCTATCTTTTAAAGGTGGCAGAAAAGGTAACTGCTGGTAAATAGTCTAAATTCTCCATCACTCATGAACTGTATGACCTTTGATGAAAGGTCAAAGCCATCATTTCCACACTTGTACCATGATGATACTAAAATTCACTATCCCGTAGATTTTTATGTGGGTTACAGGAGATAGTACAAACAAAATGCTTAGTACAACACATTGTAAGTGCCCTATAATTGTAGCTATTTTAGAAATTTGAGTTATTAGAGGAGTCAATCATACCTTTGGCTTTGCTCCTAAAATCTAGGACATCCTTGAACTGAGAGGGAGCTCTGGCCAAAGTAGTAGCAATGAGCTCAGTATCATTATGTCAGCCTCTCCTTCATCCTTTCTGCTTAAGAAGGCCTGCAAGACTCTCTGGAACACACGTGAAAACTATTATACATGCTTAAGAATAAATATTTGGGTATCTAGGAAATAGCTATTCTTCAATTGAATGCCTAGTATGTGCCAAGTGCTACAGATGTCATTGATTTTAATAACACTATGCAACAGATATTATTCCTATTTTACACATGAAAGACTAAGATTCAAAGAAATTAAATGCAATACCCAAGAGCACAACTCAACAGAAAAGAGAAAGATCAAGGATTCTGATGCTGGTCTGTCTCCAAAGCCCATGCTCTTTCCACAGAATCTCCTCTGGACTAAAGCTTGCTCATGACCTCTCTGGTAATAAAATTACTTAATTTGGAAACAGCTTAAAAGAGAAGAGTACCATTAAGACTGAAGAAGGATCCAACTAGAAAATAAAATGTATGTTAAAATAAATTTTTTAAAAACGTGATTGAACGGAAAGACGCAAGTTAGCAAGTTTCCTCGAAAACATTAGATTCCTATTGTTAAGTTTTAGGAAGAAATCTGCTCAGATTTGTCCTTCCAAAGTAGGCTTTTCATCAGCTAATTATATGCTTCAGGTAAGAGGTGGCATTCCACGTGAGAAACAGGGATCTGGCTAGAATAGAGGAGGCTTTAATAGGAAACTGGAGGGATCCAAGATGTGGCTCAGAGGGTGAAGCTAGGTTGAAGGAGTGCTTGGCTGTTAAATTGAGGAACTGCTGAGCCACCTGCAAACAGGTAGCATCACTTTAACCTTTATCCTAGACCCTTGCCTCTCTGCTTTCATCACTGTGGACCTTGACAGGGCTGCTGGTACAAACATCTCTCCTTGGGTTCTCACGCATCTTCCTGGGGAGCAGGGAGGAATAGTAAGCTACTTCTCTGGCATCATATAGAAGGTGTAGAAAGGAGTCAGTGTGGCCTGGAATATGGGCGGTTTGGTCTTCTTAGCCTAACCCAAACTTGACATTAACTTACCCCATCTCTAGACACATTGAGATTAGTTATTAAATCCTA